ACCCTTAACCTAACCCTAAACCTAATCCTTAACCTAACCCTAAACCTAACCCTTACCTTAAGTTGAATCGGCTTGCTTTCAAAGAGGTATTTTAAGAGCTCTTCTTTCTCCGCACTGGCTGTTGTCGCCCTGTTGATGACGTCAGCGACGCGGTTTAATCGGGCGCGGCTTAGTCGAGTGCGGTTTTGACGGGTCACGGGCAGAAACACAGCAAAGGATGCAATGTTTCTAGGTTGGAACTCCAAAGGGATTTCCAGGAATCTTGAATTTTTTTTATAGCTTCAGAAGGGGATCCGGTGGCTCAATGGCTAAAACATTGAGTCTTAGAGTAGCGGTCCCCAACCTTTGAGGCTTGGAGGCCCAGCTGGGGGGAGGGAGGATCAGGCTGCGTGATCAACAGGCTGCTATGGACATGCATGTGAAGCTCAACGTGCAAGTGGTGGGCTGGTGTCCAGGCATATGCAGCTCAATGTCTGCAAGCTGAGCTGCGCAGGCGTATGAACGCGCACCAGCCTGCCACTTGCGCAAGTTGAGTTTCGTGTGTACATATGCATGCTGGTCTGCTGCTTGGGCAAGTTGAGCTGTGCTGCATATGTGCGCACTGGCCTGCCGCTCATGTGGCCCGGTTCCAAATAGACCATGGCCCCATAGTGGGTTGTGGCCCAGGAGTTAGGGACCCCCTGCCGTTAAAGATCTACAGCTCTGCAATTTGAATGCTGCAAAATGGAGTGAGCCACCATCACCTGCCTCAGCTCCTGCCAACCTAGCAATTTGAAAGCATGCAAATGCAAGTAGATGAATAGGTTCCACATATAAGCATCCAGGAAGGTAACAGAGTTCCATGTTTTGCCGCACACTCTATGTTATGGTGATGTCATGCTGGCCACATGACCACAGAAATGTTTTTGGACAACACTGGCTCTTTGGCTTAAGAAATGGAAGTGAATACTACCCCTGAAGGTCGGTCATGACTATCAGGGTAAAATCCACAGAAACGGCTTTACTTTTTTATCTTTATAGCTTCAGAAAGTGGAAGAGGGAAAAGGAGGTTGAAAAGAGGTTGGACTGTCGATAGTTCAAGATTGATAGTTCAACTTTTTATTAGAAAAGATGGCTCTTTAGCGCATGTTACATTTTTATCCTCTGGTTCTGGCTGGCCAGAGTCAGACTATCATGGTTCCTTAACTTAGAACAGCTGTTGTCATTAACATTTTAAAATTAACTTTTAATCTAATTTATTGTTAATGAAACATTTGATTAACGTTTAAAGTTTTGCTGTTTGTGGGGAGACAAAAGCTTCCTTATCCAGTGCAACCTCTGTTGGCTTGCTTTCTGCTGGGGTGCAGGCATTTAAGGGAAGGGAGGGAACAAGCACAGGTTGCTTTGCTGGAAGAAAATTGTTCCCAATAGAATCCAGAGCTGCTGGCAGCCACAGGGCAGACCCGTTCAGCCAAGGAACAGAGCATAGATGTGGCAGAACTGGAAGTCTTGAGACAGAGGGAACAAGCTGAAAAGAAGACCCGCGTATTCCAGCGAAGTACCAGGTGAGGTTGGAGGTCTCCCACTTGGCTTTCCCAATCAAAGTCACTGAGGAAGAAAAAAAAAAGGATCCTCTCTATTCCTTGTTCTGCCATCCTCTAAAAGTCAAGAACTCAGTCTGTAACCTTTAACAAAGAAAGCCCATTCCCCTTCTTTATAAATGGTTGAGCAACCTTCCAACCCCCCCCCCTTTCTTTCCTGCAAAGATCATTTTACTACAATCCCAGCCATGGTTTCTCATACAATATTCAGATCCTAAGCAGGCAGGGATGCTGCAGAATCTATTTGGGGCACTCTTCTTGTACCTGTTTGTTTGTTTGTTTATGAAATTTATTTGCCATCTATTTCACCATGGGACTACTTTTGGCAGCTTAAAATAATAAAAAGGAAGAAAGATGAAAGGAGTGTAAACAGAAGTAAAATAATAGAACAGTAAAATACACAATGACAAAGCAACCTACGTATCAGTCGATTCTTGAATGAACTGATGCACAGGCTCACAGAAGCCTGTCTGTTTGAGCTAAGGAGGCAACAAGAGTGTTACAAATGTTGTAACATTTGTTATTACAACCCTTCACCAAAGAAACACCCCTCTTTAATCAGTAGCCCTTTAAAGGGGGAAAGGTGCCAGAATCAAATACCTTTACTTAATTCAGATTCTGAGGCCCTTTATGGTGTATAAACCTCCTGCTCAAGCTCTGCAAACAATAAACACCACATCTTTTTAAACACAGCAATGGCACTGAAAATGAAACAACATCAAAGAACATCCTGCAAACTTTGAGAATTGTATAGAAAGCAGCACTAGTGTTAGTTATTGAAATTGTGCAATGTTCCCACTTTCTAATAAGTCTTAAACCAAAATAAGTGCCCATTATCATTAAAGATGAAAATACGTGTTGATTTGATTAAAATCCCCTTGCACAATTTAGAAAGTCTTTTAATTGTTTCAATGCAGTTTAAGGGAGTATGAATAATACTTTCCATTGCAAAAGATGGCTCTTTAGCCTGTGTAAATATTTAGTCCCCTGGCTTTGGCGTCAGAGTCAGAATGTTATGGTTCATAAATTTAATCTGTCACTATTTTTTACATATTTTTGCAATTAATCTTTACAATCTATTTTTGATGAATTTCCCAAATAAGATCCAGAATTATTTTTTATTCAACAAGGAGTTCTAAACTGATGAATTCAGTTCAGATCAAAAGTCCTGTTTTGTATGCATTAAGATTTCAGGAGACTAAATTGTATTTGAAAAAAAAAATGTCTTTATTATTGAGGAGTTATCTTTGATTTGAAATAAATAGATAGGTATCAGCCTTCACAAATGATTCATTTGTTAAGGTTGTTATGATTCATAAATTAGCACACTTGCTCATGTGAAATCAAGGTAGAACTTGGGACTGCTTTTTCTGAAGAATATATTCAACAGAATAGATGTCCACAGAAGCCAAGTTTCTAATCCTGTACAATAATCCATTTTCCCATTTGCTGAAGAGAGATTGTTTATCTCAATAGTTCTCAACCTTTTCTTCACCATAGACCTTCTGTGGCCACAGAGCCTGGCCATGGATCACCAAGACTTAACTCAAAATTTAAATTATAACATTTCTTCAAGCCTTCACAGACCTTCTGATAACATTGCGGCCCCCAAAGGGTCCATGGACCAAAGGTTGAGAACCACTGGTTTATCAAAATATTTAAAATTTGGGTGATCAAGAAACAGAAGAAGAGGGAAGGAAAAAAAAAGAGTATAAACTGTTTTCAGCTTTCCATACTAAGGAAGGTTTAGATACAAATTTGTAAATTCCACAGCTTTATGTAGACCAGAAATTACTAGCTGATTAGGTATATCGTTATCATCTCATTAATTCTGCCAGAACACATGAATAAACATTTCAATACTGGTGATAGAATGGGGTTGAACTGTGCAGGAGAAAAGGAATCTTGCAAGAATGAAGTCCAGCACACTTTCAGTTGGTTCTCATCATGCATGCTTCACTGGACAATGTTTAAGAGACAGAAATGGACAGAGGGAATTGACTATAGTTATTGCCTGCCTAACAGCAAAACAGCTGCTACCAAAGTAAACTCTGGGTAGGTTAGCCAGAAGTAGTCTGGCCTTCTCTAAAGTCAGTTTCTGCTTCTTCTTGTTGAATCTTGTTCAAAAGATGGTATTTTGATAAAAGAATCAATTCAGAGAATTGATTCTCAGAAATCCTAAAAAATATATATACAAAACTAGGTCTTGGATTTGAACTGAATGAATCAGCTTGGAATTCCTTGTTGAATGATTTTGGAATAAGTTTCAATACGTAGTTGAAACACTTTTACCTGTTTTCTTTTCCTTTAGACACTCTCGCTTTGGTGGCTGTTATGTTATTCAGGGCTTGAAAGCTATTGGGGACAGAGATGTGGTGATGCACAAGGGGCTACACAACGTAAGTCACTTCAAGTTACTATGTGCAAGGCTGGAGAGGGTGGATTTTTTTCAGGATGCACATCTGTGTAATGTTGAAGGTATTTCTTCAAAAGTGTGGCACTACTTTTTGCACTTATAGGAAATGGAGAAAAGAAAGCATGGGATGCTATGGGCACATGGATTGTCCTCAAATCTGCCTATCTAAAGCTTTGTTGCAGTAACTCTCACTGAAAGTGTTAATATAAGACGACTACAGTTGTTGGGTTTCCTAGTCCCCTGTGCCATCATTTATGCGTTCAGAAATTCCTGGACTTCCTACACCAGCGACGTCCTACACCAACAAAGGCCCCTGAGCAGCTCATTCCTTTTTCATAAGTTGGCTTCCAGTTTTCTTAGCATATTCACTTGGTTGAGGTCAAGTTTCAGAGCTTCTTTTCCCTAGCTCATAAGACAACTGGATTATAATCTAGATCAATCCACAATTGTAAAGAAGTAATTGCACCATCGTCAACCATGTTTTCTAGGCCAAGCAGACCATATACGTTTAGATTAGACCCGAGGTTCTCAACCACCGAGGCGCGGCCCACTAGGAATAGGGCAGCACATGTGAGCGAAGCGCCTTCTGAACATATACGGGATCCAGGCAGGATGCGAAACATGCCCCACCTCCAGTTTTTCCATGGAAAAACCTCCCTCCATTTAACTGGTCCCTGGTGCCCGAAAGATTGGGGGCGACTGGATTAGACCTTCTACATCAGGGCTGTCAAACTCACAGCCCACGGGCCAAATGTGTCACTTGATGGCCACACCCATGCCTGATGTATCAAAGGGGGGAAAGTTGTGAAGTGTCATTTGATGTCGCTGTAACAACACGAGTTTGACACACCTGCTCTAGATAAAGCTAATTTTTACAGAAACTAATGTGCATTAGAAAATGTTCTGATTAATGTCATTTATGTATGTTGCATACTCACTGAAGATGATCACTTGAAAAACATTATAATTGCCAAGCTGTCTAATATTATATCTACACTTTATTAAGAAATGGAAATTTTTCTGTAGAAAACAACATACCCATGGTAAACTTTCCATCTGGTAGTCCCAAAGGGGCTTTTTCAAGAGGCAAGTGGACTTTTTTGGGAGGGGGGGGGTTGAAGATGTTTTGCTTGTCGTCCAAGAAGGTTCTTCAGCTGTGACTGGATGGTGAGGAATGGAAGGATTTATGCTCCTTGCAGTCAACTGGTTATTTGCATTCTTTTATAGTTGTTGAGGCCACCTGGAGGTTTATCTGTGTTGTCAGAGTTACCTGAGTGCAAATGAGTGTGGAACCTGCTTGGAACTGTTGAAAGGACTGTGTTATAGACTGGAGATAGATGATATTGTATCCCTCTCCCTCTGTTGAGAGAGGGCTGTTCAGTTTTGACCTAGATGGTCTCTTTAACCCCTCTTTCAAACCAGAGGTCCTCTCTGTCCAAAATGTGGACTTTGCTGTCTTCAGAAGAGTGGCCTTTGTCTTTTAAATGAACATGGGCTGCTGAATCTTGTCCTGATCGGTTTGTTCTCTTCTTGAAAAAGCACCTTTGAGACAACCATGACCTGGATGACTGACAACCGCCATAGACATTTCAATCTGCTACTATTTGGAACTAAGATGGAAGGCGTTGAATCTGCGTTTCCCCTTCTTTCCATCTTACTCATATTCTGCCCCATTCCTGGACAGGTGAAGAACTACAGCCATGATCTGGGTAAGGAGGTCCGCCGGGTGCCAAAAAGGCGGCAGCTTGCCAGTGATGGTGAAGGACCTCCTCGCCGCTCCGCCCTAAACGTGCGCCGCTTCCTCCATGAGTTCTGTGTGGAGTTCTTGGAAAACTGTTACAATCGTCTCATGTACCTGGTCAAGGTGAGAATGGGTTTCAGGTGAGGAGTTGGCCAAATGCAGGGTGCCATAAAAGAGAACAGAGAGACATCTTAGCCATCTACAGCCCTTGTTTATAGGACAGGGCAGCAATCAGATTCATTGGGATTAGGGTGGCTTCACTGAGCCAATTTGTACCCAGGTGTGAATTATTAGAAGTCAAATTTTTGCACTTCAGTGATTCTTGTTCCTCCTCTAGTGCCAAAGGGAAGAATAAGAATATCATTGCTCCTTATCCACAGTGGAAAGTTCTTGGAGGTTATTAAAATGCAGGATATTTCCTTTAACGTTAAAGACCAGTATATTTGATGGATCCCTTCCATTTATATTGTATTCAACATCTAAGGCTGTTTTGATGTTCTGATATCTTTGGTGATAGATTTGGGGAGTAAAAAAGTGTAATTTCTTGCCCGGTTGTAAATTTCTCCCCTATGAGAAATTCTTTCTCTTAGAAGGGCACCAAATATTTCCCCCAATTCTGCCATTCCTTTAACAACTGTTGAGGGAATACGTGATTAAATTGGCTCAAATTCATTTGTAGCAATAGCTAATTCTTATATATCACTTCATAGTGTTTTACACTACAGCCCTCTCTAAGCAGTTTACTGAGTCAGCCTATTCACCCCAACAATCTGGGTCTCCATTTTACTGACCTCAGAAGGATGGAAGGCCTAGTCAATCTTGAGCTGGTGAGAATTGAACTCCTGGCTATGGGCAAAGTTAGCCTCCAATACTGCATTCTAACCATTATGTGGCACCAGGGCTGCAGACTGCTGTACTGTTACTGTTCCAAGTGCTAAAATGTTGTTTTACACCTGTTTAATCTCCATTGTTTGCATTTTAGGGTTTTTAATTGTCTTGGCCTTTCAGATCTGCTTGTATTCTAGAACTGAGTGCATCTGATAGGGAGCCAAAAGAACAGAGGCTACGTATGAGGTGATAGGTGGCCTTGGACATTCTCTTTCTTTCTTTCCCCAGGATCACTTGCTCAGGGAAAAGGCCCAACAGCATGATGAGACCTACTACTTATGGGCTATCGCCTTTTTCATGGCCTTCAACCGGGCCTCTTCTTTCCAGCCTCAACTGGTTTCTGAGACGGTTGGTGTTCGGACCTTCCATTTCATTGAAAGGAGTCTGACCAACTACTATGAAATGAGCATTGTAGATAAGAAGGATATCACCTCTTGGTCTAAAAGGTGAGAGGACCTTCTCACTATGGAGTATTCCGTGGAATTCTTGTACTTTCTTTTTCTGTTTGCCTGTGCACTTTTAAATAATGCCATTTATCTCGCCTCCCTATACAAAGTCAGATGAATTCCTGCTTCTCAACTTCTTTTCCTTGTCTCTCAGGATGCATCTGGCTCTCAAGGCTTACCAAGAATTGCTGATGACTATGCATGAAATGGACCGTTCCCAGGAAGAAGCTGTGCGCAACAGCAGCCACGTCCTTAAGAGTGAAGTTTTTTTCATTTTCATTTTTATATATATCAAGTTATTTCCTGGGATAACATTCTAGTTTTTCTGCTGGAAGTAGAAACCAATTGTAATCTGTACCTATTCTCAGGGAAAGGCTCAGAATTACATTTGCTTGGAGAGAGAGGCTCACAGATAAATCTTTGGTCCAGAACTCTTAACACGAATGGGCAACTTAGTTGAAGCATTTTAAACAGGAGTTTTGTTTTTGTTTTGTTTTTGTTTTATTTTTAAACAAACAAAAACGAACAAAAATATAAAACAAATACAACCTCCTTCCATTTCATATAGCGTTCATTTGGTTGCAAGATTTTGTGCGTCCTTTCCATGGTCACCAGTTACAATTATATATCAAATCACAAATTGTTCATTAGATAAACATGAGTACATTATTGTTATATGTCAATTTTTCAACTGTAATTATTATTCATTCATTTTAAACAAGATATTCTAAATATTGAATCCATACATACAACCTCATTTTGCATCAATAGTTCAATTATTATTCCTACATTTTAAACAAAATATTCTATATATTGAAATCATACATACAACATCATTCCATTACATCGTTCTAATCTGTTTAACAGTGCTAAACCCTTATAGTATTGCATATATCATTCAAAACAGGAGTTTTCTAGCCATTCCCTGAAGATATTATAAATTGAAGTTGTAGTCTTCTGAACATATACTCAGTTCTCTATTACTGAACTTGGTACCCCTAGGAGCCTCCATGTTTTTCTTATCAGATTGAATAATTTGCTCTGCAAATACATTTAAAAGTATATTTGCTGAGCAAATAGAGAATCAAGAGAAAAGCAACATTGGCCTTTTGGCTTCCAAAATTAAACTACATTGGGGAGAGGGGAAAATCTTACCACTTTATTATTACTTTCCGTCTCCATTATATAGGGAATGTTGGTTTTGCTTGGATGAAACTAATGACAAGCACTTCCTTCCTCTAGATAACATTTTCTACTTGATGGAATATCGGGAGCTGTTCCTCACTCTTTTCCGTAAGTTTGATGAGAAAAAGCAACCCAAGTCATTTTTGAGAGATCTGGTGGAGACAACTCATCTTTACTTGAAGATGCTGGAGAAATTTTGCAAAGGGAGAAAAAACCTAGTGGTCCAGGTATTTTGGGGTATGGGGATTGATTTGATTTCCTTTCCTTTGAATTTCCAATTATTTCTTTAGGAATTTTTTTGGTCAGTGTACATATTTATTCTTTTCACTGTTAGCCGATTTTTTCTTCAAGAAGCTAATGGCTTCCTTCCTTCATTACTATGTTCCCCATAAGTGGTTGGCGTCAGTTCTGCCATCTTCGGCTCTGCGCCTTGCCGGCATCCTGCCATCCAAAGTTGGAGGTGGGGAGGACAAATGGGCAATAAACCTGTATGGGGATGTAATGGGAAATAGTTAGGGGGGCATGACAGCTTGACGAAGACCAGGAAAGCACCGATCCAGTTCGTGCCAGTTCTCGAGGCCATGCACCCGGAGAATGGAATGCAGATTGCCTGAAACATCTCAGCAATTCTCAAAACACCTATGCCAGCTCCTCATTGGATGAAGACAAACCAAGGGGGGGAGGGGGCTGGGATGAAGGGGAAAATCTATAATCTTTTGCACAGGAATCTTAGTTCTAGCCTGACTTAACTGCAGCCAACAACCTTTAGTAAAAGAAACCTATCCCTTCACCTAAATGGAGCCAAGGGTCTTTCTTTTCAAAGGAACCTAACTGGGGCAGTTTGATCTGTGAGAGAGCAGCTTAGCCAATGCCATATAGAAAGCTGAGTTTGAATCTACCTACCGTGTTTTATTGTTATTGCTATTTATTGTTTTGGGGTTGCCGGGCGGCTGCTCTTTTGCGAGTGGACTCCTGAAGAGCCTGGCGCAGGAACAGGAGGGCGTGGGCAAGTTTCAGGGGTGAACAGCAGCCATGAGATGACCATGCTCCCGAGTAGCCACTCAGCAACCTCCCTTCTCCAGCCAGGCAGAGCGCCACTCACTGACCTAGCGGTATCCCGAAGGCGCCAAGCTCTACCAGCGCCTGTTCCCCACCCCTGGCTCCCACAGCTTGGTGCCTTTGGGATACTGCTAGGTCAGTGAGTGGCGCTCTGCCTGGCCGGAGTTGTCCAAGGGGTTGTCCAAGGGGCTTATTTTTGGAAGAGGGCTTATATTTTTGCCCACCCCGAAAATCCGGCATGGCCTTATTTTCAGGACATGCCATATTTTCGGGGAAACACAATAGAATCTAAATTAACGCTGGAGGATCTTTGGCCTTCTAGATGTTGCTGAAGTAAAGTTCTCAGTGACCCCAATCAACATGGCAAATAAGTCTTCTTTTCTATTATTCTCTTTTCTCAAAGCACGATTCAGAAACTGTTTTGTTTTGCTGCAGAACAAGAACTACAGGAGGAAAAAGAAGTCAAAGGCTCGTTCTGCTCGGCCTGGGGTGCAACCCCAAACTCCTGAAGAGTTGGAAGAGGTGTGGCCAAAGCTGATGGAGCAAATTGATAAGTGCATAAAGGTAAGATTAATCTAGATGGCAGGAAGTTGGCTCTTCAGAGTGCAGATGTCAGGGCTTCTGGGTTCCCATGTTGCTCACAATGAGCAGATGTCCTTCTCCTTTTGGGCATCTTGTCTTGTAAAACAAGATAGGATTCAAGTGACAGAAGGTGCCAGCTGTGCACTTGTTGAGGTGATTGGCAAAGGCTAGGCTTTCAGAGAAGAGTCTTTTCTTCTGCCCGGAGGTACCAGGGCTGGAACCTATTACTTTCTGCATACAAAGCACAAATATTCTGGCTGAGTCTTTCCCTAAAAGTCCTACAAACCTTTGTATGAATTCTTTGTAAATGAGCTATGGAAAAAAGACCCATTGTGACATCTTGGGGGGGGGGGGGAGGTGGGGGGAGAGATACATCTTCAATAGCACACAACCCTTGCAAACAAAAGAAGAGCTCTCCTGGATATCTCTGTAGTTTTTTGCTGCTGTGCAAATTGTGTTACTTTGTTTCCAGATCAACCTTTGTAGAAGGAATATGAACACTAGATCCTTCTCCCCTTTCTCTAAAGCGATTTGATGGTGGGTGGAGGTATTAATTCCTTTTGTTTACATAGTTCATTTTAGCAACCTCCTGCTAGACTGCTTTCAATGCCAGGTTTTTCTTCCCATCTTTTTATCCTTTGAGCCCAATTTGACAATTTGATACAACAAGCTGACCTTTTAAAATGGTTCTTCCTAATAATTACAAGTTAGTGCTACTTCCCGAGACATCATAAAAGGGGGCTAGAAGAAATGATGGCTCTTGCTATTGCCTTTTCCGTCCTTTTCAAGCCATTCCTGTGGATTTCCATGCCGTTCCAGCTTATTCTTGATTAATTTACACCTGCGTAAAACTTGCTTTGGTTAACTGAAATTCGTTTGTTGACTATAGCAAAATGCAGAATCTTTTGTTTGGATCTATAACATTGCGTGCTGAAATTTCTTTCTGTTGAGAAAAAAACAAAAAGGATCTTGCTGTCACAGGCTTCCATCCAATACCTTTTCTTGCCAGGATTTTGAGTCACCTCCAGATGATGTCATTCCTTTTGATGCCGCATCAGAAGTTCCGTTAGAGGAGCAGCGAGCTGAGGCCATGACACGTATCCAGGACAGCTTATTAACTGGCCAGGCACCAGAAGCACTCTCACTCTTGCGCTCAGCAAGGTAAGAGAGCAACTTTAAAGGTGCAACTGTGTGTCCTTTTAGCTTTCAGATAAAAACTGCAGATCTGTAAACAGTTCAGAGCAATATCTTATCCTGATTCAGCCAGGTTATTGCTCTCCAGCAGCTGGAAATGGGTCTAGAAGGACAATGATTGCATAGCGGAGTCTGGTCATCAACACATAATTCAGAATCTTCTGAATTCCTGCACAGAGGAGGAGGCTCAATGGTTTCAAATGAACCCTTCCAATTTTATGGTTTTTCAAAACATCAAGCTTAAGACTTTTTTTAAAAAGTAAAAATCCGATTAACAGTCTTATTTAACGAATAAGACTATTATAATAAGATGAAATCAAGCGAGCAATTTTCAATTGTTTTTATATGCACAGTTAAATGAAAGGTTTAAGGTAGACATTAGGTCAATTGAGCAGCAGGAGATAGAATTTGGAGCTGAAATTTGTACAAATGATGTACATATAATAGCTAAAAATGTGTAAACCTTAGTTGAAATTTGAAACTGTGTGCAAAAATGGCAAGACTCTGAAGTACTATAATAGAGGAATGGTTGGAAAAGACGACAGATCTAGCAGAAGTGGCAAAATCAATTTATTTGCTTAAAGAAAGAACAACTACTAAATTGATCAGTGAGTGGAAAACCTTTATGGACTTTTTGGCTTAAAAAAAAGAAAACATAAATTTATGGTTTACAGATTTGATTATTGGAAAGTGTAGATTATGGAAAGAAGATGTAACTTTAGAAACAAGGGAAAATATAAATGTACTGATAATTTCTGTTAAAAGATCAGAAGCCACTTCTTTATAACATATTGCATTTCTCAACAGTATCCATTTGAGATTTATACACACACCTCCAAATCAGTTATATTTTTTGAACCTTTACAATAACAGTTGCTAAGCAATAGATGGATATTGGTGGCTCTGTGTTTAACCCTGCCTGTAGTGTCTGCAGTGCTTGATACTGAGGAGAAGGGAAATTTATATATCTCCTGCACTTTGCTAACCTTCCTTTGTCTGCTCCATAAGGGAGGTGTGGCCCGAAGGAGATGTGTTTGGATCATCCACTGTTGATCCGATTGAAGAAACGGAGCTGCTGAAGCAAATCTTCTTTGCCAACCTCCCTCGTGAGTATACTTCCTCATGAGTATACAACTTCCCTGAGACTGAGACTTGAAACAGCCGTAGTGGCACAAGGGTTAGAATGCAGTACTGCAGGCTGACTCTGCTCTCTGCCAGGAGTTCGATTCTCTCAATTACAGTTGACTCAGCCTTCTGAGGTCAGTAAAATGAGGACCCAGATTTGGGGGAGGGGGGCAGTATGCTGACTCTGTAAACCACTTAGAGTGGGATGTAAAGCACTGTGAAGCGGTATATAAGTCTAAGTGCTAGTGCCTTCCTCTTATACTGCCCTTTGTGGATTCTTTCAACAGTTTAGGATACCTTGGTCTTTTTCTGGCTGGACTGTTTTTTAAACAGCAGCAAACACTATACAGATCCCTAAGGCAGCATTTCTCACACTGCTATAACAACAATGTATCATGCATGTATGCACAGAAACAATTTTCTCAGGCAAGACTTTTGTGTTTCTGAGCTGGATTAGTGACATTTTCCCTTTAAACTTTCTGTGTGTATTCAGGGCCGGCAGCAACTGACCCAGATGAGTCTGAGGAGGCAGCTGAGTATGAGGAAGTTGCTGAGGAAGAGTTGGCACCTGTGCAGGTATCTGAAAAAGAGTTCAGCTTCCTGGATTACGTGAAGCGGTACGTTTTTTCTCAGCCTATATTTATCTTCTCCATGCAAGGAGTATTTCAGATGTCAAACATTTCCGTGCATTCTTACCCTACCCATAATACAGGTAGTCCTTGACAAATGTCCATAATGGGATTTGCCCATTATGGTTGTATATTGTGATCTTTTTTTTGCGGTAGTCATTAAGTGAATCCCACAGCTGTAAAGCGAACACCGTGATCATTAAGCGAAATGGTGTTTCTCTGTGGGTGTGATTTTGCCAAAAACTATAAGCGAGTATCAGGTTTTGGCTATGGTAAAATTTGGTCGTGTGACCGTGGGATGCTGCAAATGACCCTACTTGAGACCGTATTCCCAAGCACTTATGTTCAATCATGTGACCACGGAGGGGGCCCAATCATTGGAACTTCAAAACCAGGTCGTAAGTCCCGCTTTCCTGGTTTGTCATAACTTACACCAGCTGAATTAGTTGACTACTAGAAACAGTAATGGATGCATCTGAAAACACTGAGGAAGCTGAATGTTATTATTCCCTTGATGTTCTGAGTTCCAGGCTGGGTGCGCAAGTAATCTTCCCCCGCTGTTTCCCAGAACATGCCTTCATGTCTGTATCCTGTGGTGCAGGTTTGCTAGCGCGAATGTCGTCAAGGCCTACGTCCTGCTGTTCAGAAATTACCGGCAGAACAGCCCCCACACTAATCACTGCGTGGTCAAGATGTTGCACCGCATTGCCTATGACCTCAAGATGGAGGCCTTACTCTTTCAGCTTTCGGCCTTCTGCCTTTTCAACCGCCTCCTCAGTGACCCTGCCGCCGGAGCTTATAAGGTGAGGTGGAACAGGGATGTGCATGGTTGGTTATGAGTTTGATGAGAGAGATTAGATTTGACCTGTAAGATCAAAACCATCGGCTACAACACAGGGAAGGGAACAGACGTCCATACGTACAGGTAGTCCTCGACTAACGGCCAGAGTCAAGCCCAAAATTTCTATTGCTAAGTGAGACGTTTGTTAAGCAAGTTTTGCCCCATTTTACGATCTTCCTTGCCACACTTGTTCAGTGAACCACCACAGGTGATAAGTTAGTAACAACCTGGTTGTTAAGCGAATCTGGCTTCCCCATCGACTTTGCTTGTCAGAAGGTGACAAGCAAAAGGGGATCCCATGACCCCGGGATATTGCAACTGTCATAAATATGAGTCAGTTGCCAAGCATCTGAATTTTCATCACAGATCCGATTGCCCCCTGCTGGTCTTCCATAAAGTTGGTCTATGGAAGATCAGCAGGTGATCCATAAAGCATTGAAGACCTGGATATGTTCCAGGTGTCTGGAGGATTGCGAAGTTAAATCACCCATTAAATCACCAATTGAGTAGTTTCTGTTTACCGTATTTTTTCAGAGTATAAGACGCACCTTTTTCCCTAAAAAATACGCTGAAAATCTGGGTGCATCTTATACAGCATTTTTTTGCCTCCGAAACCCCGCCCCCTTTGCAAAAATGGCTGTACATAGCTTGTAGGAGACTTTCAGAGAGCTCCTGGGGCTGGGGAGGGCAGAAATGAAGAAAAAGTGGGCTGTTTTTTGCTCAATTTTGCCCCCCCCCCACCCTCAGGAGCACTCTATAAGCTTCCTAATGCCCTTTTTTGACAAAAAAGGGGCCCGTTTTCTCCCTCATTTTTGCCCCCCTCCCTTCCCCAGGAACACTCTACAAGCTTCCTAAGGGCTATTCATGCCCTTTTTGGGGGTGGGAACGGGCTCTTTTTTGCGAGGTTTGCAACGTGCAAAACTTTTTTTTTAATTTGTCTCTTCAAAACCTTGGTGCGTCTTATACTCCAAAAAATACGGTATCTGTTTTGGATTCTTGTTTGGTAACATTTTTTTTTCATTTTGCATATGTGTTTTATTATTTTCATGTATTATTTAGCTGCCCAGTCAGGTTTTAGGTACATTTCCTCACTTCTGTATTTAAAATGGATAAATGCCGGACCACAACTTGAGCAATGTCAAATGGTGAACTTTATTCAGGTAGTCCTCAACTTACAACCATAATTGAGCCCAAAATTTCCATTGCTAAACAAAATAGTTGTTTTGCCCCATTCCATGACCTTTCTTGCCTCTGTTGTTAAGTGATGCAGTTGTTAATTTAGTAACATGAATGTAAAGTAAATCTGACTTCCCTGTTGACTTTGCTTAGGGTCACAAAAGGTGATCACATGACCCTGGGATAATGCAATCATCACAAATACATGCCAGTTGTCAAACATCCAAATTTTGATCACATAACTATGGAGATATTGCAATAATCATCAGTGTGGAAAATGATCTGAACTCATTTTTTTAGTGCCATTGTAACTTTCAATAGTTACTAAATGAATAGTTCTAAGTCAAGGACTAGCTGTAATACAAATTGCCCAGGTCGAGGTGGGTGCTTTTTTTAAAACTATAAAAGATATTTCAGGACTTCATCTGCGGCTCAAAATGTATGAACCATGCTATCTGAAGCTGCAGCACACCATCTATAATTTAAATATACGTATGCAGAAAAGCAGAACACACAATCCTGCAGTTCTGATAAGCTTCTTCCAGTGGAGAAAGATAGGATAGATTGGGATTTCTGAATTCAGAATTCCTAACCAGTATTCATCCAGTTCTTTTTTTTTTAAAGCTTTATTTGAATATGGAAATCAGACCGCAACAGCTGTAGAAAAGAGGTCTGCAAAAATAATTGAAAGTTTTAATCCAGAAGTTTCGCAAACATAGAAATAAATGAATATATATCCTAAATTTCAAAAATATTTTTCTGTGTTCTTAATTTGGACATGCATCCTACTTTCTCCCATCTATAATACAATATCCCTAAGCAGTACTAAAAAATTATACAGAATATAGGTCAGCAATCTGCTTCACTGGGAAAGCGAGGGAACATTTATTTATTCATTCATTCATTCATTCATTCACATTTGTGAACTGCCCATCTTCAGAAAAGAAGAATCTCCTTTAATGAAATGCTTTGAAATATTAACATTACTTATTATCAATAATTGGGACTAGGGACTGTTGCTAAGCGACAGGGTCATAAGGCACAATATTGTGTGATTGCTCTTGACTTCTGACAGCAGTTTCCGCAGTCCCACTTGCCATTGTTAGGTGAATCCCATGTGGTCACAACATCCTGTAGTCATGTTATCAGCACTTACAATTCTATTAACTCTGCTTATCTGAAGTTGGCAGTGAAGATTGCATATGACCACAGGATGCTGTGATGTCCTAATTATGATCCAGTTGCCAAGCACATGAACCGGGATCATGTAACCATGGGGATGCAGCAATGACTGCAACTGTGGGGACTCATCGTAAGCCCTTCTTATTCAGCCTGCTTACTGAACTTTGAATAGTCACTGAATGAGTAAACATTAAGTGAGGACCACTTATATTCTTTTGAGCTTTTGGACTTACAACAAACAAAACAAAATGCCTGTAAATTTTAGGAGCTGGTGACCTTTGCCAAGTACATTGTGGGCAAATTTTTTGCCTTGGCATCAACCAACAAAAAAGCTTACGTGGAATTGTTGTTCTGGAAAAGCACAGCTGTGGTTCGAGAAATGACTGAAGGCTACACAGAGTTACAGGAAGATGGAAGGTGAGCACAAGGATTTTGGTTAACACCTAATTTCTAGGGGTGGGGAACATTTTGAGAAATGTTGCACTGTATGCTGGACTACTACCCCCATAGTATTGTCTGTAAGTTAAGTATTAAATAACACAGGGAAATACCTCCAGCCATTTAGACAGCGTTCTCAGTTTTAAGGAAATTATGCGTTGCGGGGGAGGGGGGTAATCAGAGTCGGTACGAAACTTGGTCTTGATCCAGCCATTGATCTGACCCCTAAAAAACGGAAAGGAAAAACCAGGAGTTGCTATCTCATATTCAGGATACTAAAATAGAGCTGGGGAAAAAAGGCAGCTCCCTAATTTCTCTGATCAAACAGACTTTCAGGATATAAGGACTTGTGCACACACTCACCTTCAAGTCACTCCTGATTCCTGGTGGCTATCTGGACTAGTCCCTACACTTTTCTTGGCAAGTTTTCACAAGTAGTTTGCGGTTGTCTCCTTCATAGGGCTGAGAGATAAGAGTACATATCCCAAAGTCACCCAGCAGACTTTGTGCCCAAGGCAGGATTAGAACTCGCAGTCTCCCAGATTCTGGGCCAGTGCCTTAACCACTACGTTAAATTGCTTCTCATAGATAAGTATTCTGACCCCCCCCCCCCTCCATACGGTGAGGCACTCCAAGACAGGGATTACTGCTAGACAATTTATTCACAGTAAATTAACACACTGACAAGACCTGGGCAGCATTCCAGACTTCCAAGATAAGAAATACACCCGAGAGCTTCTCCAGCGTTGGTATAATTAGTTGAATCTAACGTCCTCACCACTGCTCCAGGGCCTGACCTCAGATACCAACTCCCTTTGATTTTCACCGCTGCTCCATGCCTCAGGCGCCTCCTGGTAGCCAACCAGCCTCTCTGGTCTCTGCTCGGAATCGGAACCCTGTCCAGGGTCCTCCACATCTTGCAGAGCCGACTCATAAGGCCCCTCGCTATTGGAGTCTGTTTGCAGCTCCAATGGCTCCTGCTGGGCCACAACAGATAAGGATATCTCCCTATGAAAATGAAGCTGCTAGGTGATGTCATCCATTGGCAAGGGGTTAGTCATCATCAGTATGATAACTTGACTACATGCCTCTGCTCTGCCTGACCATATAATGCTGTCTTGGTTCTTTCTCAGTATGTGGAACTTGTGGTGGTCTGGATGGAGGGGAAAAAAAACAGGCTTTGACTTAATCATAGTAAGACCAAGTGGCTGTGGGGGGTTACCCTCCCTCCCCTCTCTTCCCTAGTATCTGGATCTGAGGGTTTTGGTTCTGAGTGAGGCTGGACACCCTGTGCTCAGAGCTGATGTGTGATTTGTGTTGTCTTCATATAGCTCCCATCTTGGATCCGAAGGCCCTCCTCACAGTCATACGTTCTTTACGTACAACCTGGTTGGATTTCTGCAGCTCTACCTGGAGCTGCCCTTGTAGACCACCAGCAGCTGCAACAGGTCCATTAGGCAGCAGCATGGATAATAACGGGTGCACCTAATTACTGCCTATGAGCCGCGGTGGTGCAGTGGTTAGAGTGCAGTACTGCAGGCTATTTCTGCTGGTCGCCAGCAGTTTGGCAGTTAGAGTCTCATTGGTTCAAGATTGACTCAGCCTTCCATCCTTCCGAGTTTGGTCAAAGGAGGACCCAGATTGTTGGGGGCAATAGGCTGACACTGTAAACCTCTTAGAGGGGGCTGGAAAGCACTGTGAAACAGTATATAACTCTTAAGTGCTATTGCTATTGCTAATAGGTGCCCCTCAACATGCCCATGTAATGCCACTATTCTACAAGTTGCACTGGCTCTTGATAGGTTTATGGGTGCAGATCAGGGCTGGTTACCACCAATAAACCCTACCTGGCAGAGGACAGGTTAACTTTAGATCAACATGTTGGTATATCAAACAATGCTGGATGCCATCAGTTCTAAGAGCTGAGGTGGCGCAGTGGGTAGAGTGCAGTACTGCAGGCCACTTCAGCTGACTGCTAGATCAGCAGTTCAGCGGTTCAAATCTCACCGGCTCAGGGTTGACTCAGCCTTCCATCCTTCCGAGGTGGGTAAAATGAGGACCCGGATTGTTGTTGGGGGCAATATGCTGACTCTGTAAACCGCTTAGAGAGGGCTGAAAGCCCTATGAAGCGGTATATAAAAATCTGCTATTGCTATTAAAAATCTGCTATTGCTACATAAGTCCAGAAACCCTATGAATGTTTTTCTTCCTGCAGAAATGTTCAAATTTTAGATAATATTTCATGGGGAAATTTTCTTAGTAGGATATTTCTTCCTTTCCTTCACAGTTCCAATTCACACAAGGCTTCCCAATGGACTGAAAAAGAGGAGGAGGAACTTCAAGAGCTCTACCACAAGTATAAAGAAGTGGAAGGTAGATACCTAATTGCCGGGAGGGGACATCGGAAGAAAAAACAGTTGATAAGTAGTGCAAGATCAAAACTCACTTTAGGGCCTTCCATTCTGTAGTTGGTAAGAATGTAACTGAGCACTTGGGGTGAGCTGAAACTTTCATAAGAAAAGTTTGGGATCCCATAAGGAAGACTCTTATTTAGTGGCCCACTGCAGTACAGTCCCCAGTGTATTCCTGACTCCTTTTTTTGGCGCTCTAGTTTTGAAATGAAAGAGAAGTTTCTGATGGAAGAGATTTCCAGATCTTTTTTCATAAGCAATCACTATGTTGATGTCCCAAGCTGCCTGCCTTCAGTTGATAGGTTCTCAAATTCCAACCTGCTCTAAAGCCGGGCAGCATTGTTCTAGGGCTCAGGTGAGTTCTAGTACTGTGGGTGGTTATTAATGGTTTAGTCTTGGGTGCTCTGATGGGTTTGTTTTTAATCTTGTAACTCTCCCAAGGTCACTTGTATGAGGTGGGAGACTGTATAAATGAACTAAATTAATGCTCTTTTCATAATTGGCACAAGGTAGCATTAGCAGGATACTTTTATCCTAGCACAGCAGACTGCATTGTCAGAGCATGCTGTGTTAATGCAGCTCTTATAAGAGAAGGTTTCCTTCACATTTTGTTCTAAAGAAAATAAGGGAAAGGATGTGTGTGTGTATTTAAAAATGGGAAGTGTAGTTTTGAAACTGGTGCTGTATTGCAGAAACCCTGAAGGCTAGTGGTCAGCAAGAATGATTGGTGGAAAACCATTTAACCAAGGAGAGGATTATCCTTATACATGCTACAAATGGCTACTAGAGCCATAACTATAGGCACATGTGCGTATAGGTAGTGCAATTTACATCCACAATGGAGCCCAAAATTTCCATTCCTAAGCAAGGCAGTTATTAAGTGAGTTTTGCCCCATTGTATGACCTTTTTGCCACAATTGTTAAGTGAATCACTGCTGTTCATAAGTGAATCGTGTGTCCATTAAGCGAATCTGACTTCCCCCATTGACTTTGTTGTCAGAAGCCAACTGGGAAAGTAACAAATGGGTACCACATAAACACACCCCAGTTGCTAAGTGCTCGTATTTTGGTCATGCGACTGGGGATGCTGCCACAGTCATAAGTGTGCAAACTGGCCATAGGTCACTTTTTTCAGTGCCGTTGCAACTTCAAATGGTTGCTAAGTGAATGGTTATAAGTCGAGGACTGCCTGTATAATGCCCAACCCAGCTCTTTGGCTTCTCTCCACTGTCTTAGCCAAAGTCCAAGCATCGGGTCTTCTGTTCCCTCAAAGTCTTGTTTTCAACTCCTCAGGTGAAGATGTGCTTGATAACATCCTGTCACATATCGGCTCCCATCACCGGGGACGAAAGCGGGTGGCCAGGAAACTGGTGCAGTTGGGGTTGGTGAGCAGCATGCGAGACTTTCCTCCAGAGAGGTAGGTCATGTTAACACTTCTCATGAATTCAGGATCTTCATAAACAGATTTATTTTCAAAAAGCAAAAGATGAGCGGGATGAATCGATTTGGATGCATACAGATGCTACTAGGGAAGGCTCAGATTTCTTGAGATGAGCAACTAAACTCTCTGTCCGTAGCTCTTTCTTACTGATAATTTCAACCATGTTTCCCTAAATGGAGCTCCATCTTTCTACCCTTTAGTCTCTTGCTTACCTTGATTGTGGAAGCGGAAAGGTGTTGCTAATGCTACTTCCATCACGCTTGCCAAGCGAATACCTTTTCTTGGCTAGGAGCTGTAGTAACAGAAGAGGCATCAGTGGGAAGGATGGTTAAAAGATGAAATGGGTGTTTGCATTGCCTCTTAACATTTTTGTATGCTTCTTCAGCTGTTATGTATTTTATTTCTTGTTTTGTATCTTTTTATTTATCTTAATGTTGGGAGCCACCCAGATGGATGGCTCAACTGTTCTAGAGATGGATGGCTATAAAATGTATTTTATAAATAAAACAAGGATATATAAGTTGTAGGATATACTGTATTTTTTGGACTATAAGACGCACCAGAGTATAAGACGCACCAAGATTTTGAAGAGGTAAAAAAAAAAAAAAAAAAAAAAAGCTTTTGACCTCCCTGGCCCCTAGGAGCACTCTGTGGGCCTCCAAAACCCTCTGCACTCCTTGTTTTTTGCGAAAAATGGGCCCGTTTTCCCCTCGTTTGTGCCCTTCCCAGCCCCCAGGAGCTCTTGGCAGGCCTCCCAAACCCTCTGCGCGTCCCTTTTCACGAAAAACAGGATGCGCAAGGCGGGGTTTCAGGATGCTGTATTCAGTGCATAAGATGCACCCAGATTTTCACCCTCTTTTTTTGGGGGGGGGGAAAGGTGCATCTTATACTCCGAAAAATACGGTAGATAGTTCTTGGTCAATGATGGTAATTAGGACCAGAATTTCTATTACTAAGCAATGTAGCCATAAAGAGCGACATCATGTGACTGTATCAGTTGGTGACAGCAATCCCAGCACTCCCTGTTGCCATTGTTAAGTGAGGTAGTTAAGTGAGTCCCAAAAGACTCACAGGCAACTACAGTCCAGGAAGGTCAGGAGTGGCTCCTGCCAAGCAGGATAGGAGGCAAATAACTTGCCAGAGCAACTAACAGCCTTTCTTGCCAGCTTCCCCATTGATTTTACTTGAGGGAGGCTATCAGGGAGCATTGCAAAATGAGGATCATGTGTGTACAGGACACTGCAGCTGTCGGAAGTGCGAACCAGTAGCCAAACTCCCAGATTGTGATTTGTGATGGTGGGAATGCTGGGACAGCTAGAACTTGGAGGACTGGTCATAAGTACCAATCATTCAGCACCACTAGTTTGGAAACTAGTTAAATGAGAACTACCTGTAGTTTTGACCCGCTTAAAAAACAAAACAAGCCATAATAACCCTCCCCATTTTGCATTTTGCTTAGAAATCCTGGCCCCATTCATTTGGCTGTTGTTATCATTCTGCCCACTGTGGCTTCTGTTGCCCAACAAACTTAACGTGGACCCTTAGCAGCCAAAATATTGCCTTTCTCGATTAGAAGATTGCTTTGAAAAAGAAACAAAAAACCCAAACTGTACATTTTGATGAGAGAATTCAACTCTTTTTGTTGAAAAGGCCATCTGTTGCAACCTGTACTGTAATGACAAGCCTAGTTAATTTCCTTCGGCAGGAAAGGGACTCGCATTGTGCTATGGACAGAGGAGCAGGAGCTAGAACTTCGCCGGCTCTTTGAAGAGTTCCGGGACTCCGATGGTGAGACTGCCTGACTGCTTAGCCAGAACTTCATCTGCACCCAACATAGTAGAGCTCTGGTGCCTGAAGGTGTGAGATAAGCTGGCTGGAGATGAGGAAGCTGGGACCAGAAATGTTTTTAAGGCCTCACGAACCTTTTGGGTAGTGAATTCTCTACTACGGAGGGATTATTTTTCAGTGACCCTCCTAAAGCTAAGAGTTACTCATCCCTGTTCGGCAATCTCTGCTTTTTCTGTCTCCCAAGTTTTGAATTGGCTTTTCTGAAATAATTATAAGTAGTCCTTATTTAGTGACCACAATTGGGACCAGCAACTTGGTTGTTAAGGGAAGTAAGCAAACAAGTCTGTGACTGTGCTTTTGATCTTACAGCACCTTTCCCTTGCTTTATAGACCTGCAAAGATTAAAAATGTGGAGATTGATCGTAAAGTTACTTTTTCATCGCTGTAGCAACTGCAAATGGTTGCTAAATCAAGCAGTTGCTAAACAATGACTATTTATAGTACTTTATCAATATCCCCACAGAAAGAATGTTGCACATTGGCATCAGAATAGGAATTTCATATGACATCTTATTTACTTGCTCTGGTTCACTCGATAAAGTGAATTTCTTGGAACCAGCGGGGGAACTAAATAGACTTGGCCTACTCCTTCTGTTTGCTCACACTGCCTTTTCCTCTCTTTCCTCTCTCTGTAGATATCCTGTCCAATGTAATGAAGCACATCACAGCGAAAAGATCAAAAGCCCGCATTATTGAGAAGATGCTTAGCATGGGGCTGGTGTCTGAGCGTAAGGAGCTTTACAAGAAGCGCAAACGCAAATCTGGTTCACTTAGATCGGTATGCTCCCCCCCCCCCCAAAAAAAAAATCTTTTTTCCTATCTGCACACCTCACTTTGAAAATGTGAGCATGCCCACATCTATGCATCTATAGCATCATAAATCCTGGGCTAGTTTGATTTATTTAATAGTGGGAGGGAAAGGGTATATCTTAAGCTCTCACAGATGCAGTTTCTCAGATACGATCTTCTTTGAGTTTTCCACCAAAGGTGGTTTTTCAAGAGGCAGCTGTTAGAACTGGAGAAGCTTCTTGGATGAGGAGCGAAAAGTCTTCAAGGAAAAAGAAAGGAAGTCCAGTTCCCTCTTGAAAAAACATCTTCGGGACAGCCGTGACCTGGATGACTGAGAATCTCCTTAGTTGATCTTTGAGCTTTCTTCTTTCCTCCAGCTCTACTTCTTCAAACATGCCTTCTCAAAAAAAAAAAAAAAAAAAAAAAGCCTAGAATTATTATTCTAGTCAAATTGACATTTGCTTCAGTCTGTCAATCTTTTCTAACTGAGCCTTTCAAAATATCAGTTAAAACAAAAATAGCTCACAAGGGATATCCAAAATCTTATCTTTCGTTTAATATAAAATCTCCTCTAACAGACTAATTTGAGTCAGCCAAAACTAGTGGGGGGTGATAAGACTGCTGTTACTGCATTTGAAGTAATGGTTGTTTTTCTCTCTAGTGTGGATTATGGAAGGAGGAACACTCTAATTTAGCATCTCCTGCTGTTCCGTACTCTTAAGAGATGGACTTAAGTTTCTTTCTTTCAGAATAAGGCCTCGTTACCCAAAGATTCTGAGGTGCCTGACCTGGATGAGGTAGTTGTTGAAGATGAAGAGGAAAAGGATGATTTGGATAGTGAAGAAGAAGAAGAAGATGACGACAAGGAGGATGCTGGAAATGACAAGGACCAAAAATCCTGGGGCGGGTGGTCCAAGAAAATGTGGGGAGATGCTTCAGATCAAAAACTTGTGCAAAGCCTGAGACAAGAAGGTGAGAAATTGGTCTCCATGATTGCAAAAGGAGGAACTACAGTATACTGTGGTGATGCTGTCTAGTGTCACAGAATTGTAGTGCTGGGACACAAACTCAACTTTTTAAACTCTCAGAATTTCTCCTCCTTCAAATGATATTTTAAAAAATTATCCTGATATCCTGCACAACCACCCAGAGTGGTGTGGGGTATGGGCTAACCAAATTGCCTAACTTCCAAACTATATAAACTTTGCATCCCCAGTGGCTATAGAAGAGGTTTATCAGGAGAGACAAGTAATCTGATTGGAGATGGGAATTTTTGGAGATTGCTAATTGACGTAAAGGGCTTTTTCCCATGCATTTCTCCCATAATCCCCATGTGTTTTCCATAGTTTAATATGGGCCTAAGCACATCTAATAGAATGTATTTTATCTCTTCAACTCAAATGGGGTTATTTTTCCCTTTTGTAATTTGCTTTTCACTTTTCCCTTCCCCATTATCCTTGCAAATAAAAAGCCCCAACTCCTAGGAACAATTTTCCCAAATAGACCTTTTTTGTGATGGCCCTTAGGTAATAATGAAAGCCTACAACAATTTTTTTCTGATTTTGCTGGTGTTCCTGTTTTTAAGAACTTTGATACATTAAAGTGTACTGGTTGGGGGGGGGGGGGCTGCCCACAAGCTGTGTTCTGAAATGGGACTGCCTATTCCATGACTTTTTCCTTCTCTTTGTGTAGAGATGGCCTTCAGGAATATGATAAGGTGGATCTTTGATCTAAGAGGACTGCTGATGGATATCTGCAAGGGGAGGGGGATTTTAAATTTGTGTGATTATGTTGATACAAAGGTGTCTGATATCCTGATGTCAGTATGTAATAGGGGCGTCTGTGAGATTAGATCATTGTGTCTGTATTATTATTACTTTTTGCTGTTGCTTGCATTCCTGGGTCTGCTCACTTTCCCATGCAATTTCGCCTTGCAGGTTTTGCTGGCCCCTTGCTCTGGCTTCAAAACAGCCTGAACAGAACAGCTGCTGCCCGAGGAGAGGATGGTAAATACAAACAAACTGGGGTGTCAGATTGAATGATTGATTTGACAAATTTACGAGGCTTGCCCATCTCACTCAAATTGACCCTGTCAATAAAACCAGGATTTAAAATATTTTAAAAACCCTTTAATGTAATAAGAAGAGATAAAATGAGATCATGAAAGTAAAGATGATACATACAAAGTAATCCGCATGCAGGCTTCCCCATTATCAAGGCATCCCCCCGGATTTGCTGAAATTTTTCTGGAAGGCCATAAGGGCTGGGGATAACTTCACCTCAAGAGCAAAAGTGTTCCAAAAAAATTTCGCCTCTTTAGATCCTTTCAGGTGGAACTCTTTTACAGACCGAACCACAGTGTGTCTCTCCTGCCAGATCTCATGGGACAGGTCAATATAATAGAGAGAAGGCAGTCCCCTCAGATACTTTGGCCCCATGCCAAATGGGATCAAAACCAGCTCCTTGAATTGGACCTAGTAACAAACTGTCAAAACAATGCTGTGCCCATAGCAGAGATGTAACGTGTGTCTATTTAGGGATGCCCATAATTGACTGAGCTGCTGCATTTTGCAGCTAAAGCTTTGAGATACTCTGGCAGACCCATGTAGAATATTTTACAGTAGTCCATTTGTGAGGTGAATTTCTTATATCAAGCATGAAAAGTTGGCTATTTCATATTACTAATTAAGCCAATCTTCATAAAGTATTGCCCAGGGCTAAGTTCTAGTTTTCTTCTCAGGAAAGAGCTATCTACCCCCAAGTCCCGCAGGGAGGACATTCTTTGGCTTGCTCTAGTTATAGCTGGATAGATTTTTGTTTCCCCAGGATGTTCCCAGGCTGTTCCTTTGGTGCCATTGACTGAAGAAAGCGAGGATGCCATGGAGCACAAAGATTTCCAGAAACTGCTATGGAAATTGGGGGTGCGATCTCCAGGCAATGAGCAGGTGAGGGGCTATAGGTGACCTTAGAGTGTGCTTTCAGGGCAGACCTTAGATGCTTCCAAAAGTTGCCACAAATGTTTTTTTTTTAAATAGTTCATTAATTATTATCCCGCTTTTATTATTTTTACAATTAACTCAAGGTGGCAAACATAAGTAATACTCTGTCTTCTTATTTTCCCCACAACAACAACAACACTGAATGGGTTGGGCTGAGAGAGAATAGTAACTCTTCTGATGTATAAGCAAAAAATGAAATGTAAAGGGAGTAATTTAATTAATTTAATTTAATTTAAATCAGACAATTATTTGTCTTGGCTCCTTTCACTTTTGGAATGAATTCCATGGAAGATTGTGCATTCCTAAATTAAAGGGAAAGACTATAGGAAATGTGAATGAATTGTGTTATTTGTATTATTTGTTCTAAAGTTTTCTTTTGTATAAATATTATGTTTAAATACCCTGTTTCCCTGAAAATAAGCTCTCCCTGGATAATAAGCCCAATCAGGCTTTTGAACACATGTACTAAAATAATCCCTCCCCCCCAAAAATTGCAAGCCATGTGGTGACCACATTCGCCGCCTCCTGTACTTCAAAAATAATAAGACTTCCCCAAAAATAAGGCCAAGCGCTTATTTCGGGGGTCAAAAGAAAATAAGACTCTGTCTTATTTTCGGGAAAACACGGTAATACAGGAAAGCAATGACCTCATTATGACGGAAATTAAACTTTTGTATAAATGGTGTTATGCAGTATGTTTTGAATGCTATTGTGTATAAAATAAATATTTTAATAGAATATAGCATGTATCAATCACCATATTATATATATAAAAGCGAAATATAATTCATGCATCATCACAAAATATCTAGTCTACAAATTTGAAATTTGGCACTTATGTTCCTCTTGGCTTCTAAGTGTTTGCTAAGAAAGGATTTTTTGAAATGACCATCAGATCATTAGTATTTCTTATATTATTATTAACACGCTCTGATACTAAGGAGTTAGACATTCTACTCCCCCTCCTCACCTGAAAAGAACTCTGTTCCAACTGCCACTTGGGCAAGGGCGTGGCCAGCACATGATTCATCCAGCCTGCGGGCTGGGAGTTTAGACATTCTACTCCCCCTCCCCACCTAAAAGGGAGAAAAGGAGATAACAGAGGAGAGGCTTCTGTGGGCAAGCCTGAGGCACAGAAGGGGAGAGGAGAGACCGTAACTACTCATTAATGTTCAAGCTTTAACTGTCAATTTATCAAGCCCGATCACATAGTTCTGTAGCGAAGCATGGGTATCCAACTGGCTAGTATTAATATATAAGAATGTGATTTTCATATGGGAGGTTGAAATATCATCCAGTTGTCACCTCGATAGTATTATCAATTTGGGTCTGAAAAAAGGCTGCCTATATGAAGCATGCATGCTCTTTAAAAAAAATAGGAAGGATGGGGTAATTTTTCCAAGATGGGAGAGTTGACTCCTGCCTTACAGAATATCTGTCCCAGGTCTTCCATTTAATATCTGTTAAGATTTTATTGAGGCCTAAAATAAGTAGACCTGGTATTGACAAACTACAGGTAGTCTTCGACTTAAGACCACAATTGAGCCCAAAATTTCCGTTGCTGCAACGGTCGTAAGCATGAAAAATGGTCATAAATCCCTTTTCACTGCCATTGTAACTTTGAACGGTCACTAAACGAATTGTTGTAAGTTGAGAACTACCGCATTTTTCGGAGTATAAGACGCACCATGATTTTGAAGAGGTAAATTAAAAAAAAAGTTTTTGCACTCTGCAGGCCTTTCAAACCCTCTGCATGCCTCGTTTTTTGCACAAAAAGAGGTGGTGGTGGTGGTGGCATGCAGAGCTTTGGGGAGCTTGTAGAGTGCTCCTGGGGGTTGGGGGGTCAAAAATGAGCAAAAAATGGACTATTTTTGCAAAAAACAAAGGGGGGGCATGCAGAGGCTTTGGGAGGCTTGTAGAGTGCTTCTGGGGGCTGGGGGGAGCAAAAACGACCATTTTTTTGCCCTCCCCAGCCCTCAGGAGCACTTTGCAAGCCTCCCAAACCCTCTGCACATCCATTTTTGCAAAGGGGGCAAGGTTTCGGTAGGCCAAAAATGCTATATTCAGTTTATAAGACACACCCAGATTTTCACCCTCTTTTTTGAGGGAAAAGGGTGCGTCTTATACTCAGAAAAATACAGTACCTGTACAGTATATTGAGTCTTGTTCAGTTTGCCTTTTCATGTGAATACAGAACTGTCATTCAGGATCAGATGAACCAAAGTGGTTCCCTCAGAAGATTTCCCTTGGCCATGATCTTAATGGCATATAGTCTTGCATAGCCTGTGAAAGAGAGGCAACCCAGTTCTAATTATGATACAACATTAGAAATTGAAGGGGAAGAGATGCACTTTATTGTGTTTAGAAACTTAGTTTGCAGATGGAAATCTTTTTATAGACACACATCTGGGCATCATAAAGTAGCATACCCAGAATTTTGGATTTGAATAGCTTAATAGCAACTGAGTCAAAATTATTCCCATGCCAGTTTGCAAATTTTGCAATTGCTAAGAAATACTCTTTGAGCTGGCATCGTTAATCCCCTTGCTTGAATGCCCCAGCTGGTAGAGAACGGAAGTAAATGCCTAAATATTTGAAATATTTCATCTTCCATCTTGATGGTTCTTTCATTTATTGACCATTGGCGTTCTTCTTTATCAAACAGATAAGCTGCAGAGCTCAATAGGGAGACTGCTTTCCTTTGCCTTTTTGATTGGGTGGGGGTGGGAGGTGGGGAACCTACTAGGTTAAAGAGATCTAGGAAATTCTCAGAAAGCAAGTGCCAGTGCAGATAAAGAACAACGATTATTAGATTATTTTGATGCAATTGTATTTACAAATCTTGGGTTTAACTGTTTACCAGTTTCTTTTGAGAGAAACTGTTTTGCATGTGTCAAAATGTATATAGAACTAGATGCTGGAAAAAGCAAGAGAATAATTCACCAACTTTTCTTCCTCAGTTCCAAAGAACACTTTCAAATACTTAACAGAAGGGGTTCCCAACCCCTGGGCCACGTCCATTGGAATCTAGCCACCAAAGTGGCAGGCAAGCGTGCAAAGCTTCATTTGCACATGCGCAGGATGTAGGTTGTGCGTGCAAAACCATTCCTCCACCACAGCCGAAACTGTTGAATCCCCATCACCGCCGGTCTGCGGAACCAAAGTGGTTGGGGAGCCCTGAGTTACAGGGCCTTGCTATATACTGATCTCAGCTTCATGATAGGGTAATTTTGTGATTTCCATTGTTTACAGTAAAATGGGTGGTAATATCTTTATTACTGTATATGTTCTGTAAACAGTTAGCTCTTTATCCTAGTAGAGTCATACCCTGGTAGTTGACTGCGTTGAAACATGTTGAATTTGGTTCTCAGCACATTTTGACCTAAAATTTTTGCCCCAGTACTTGTTATTTGTTTGATATTCAACATGCAAGCTAGAACTTGTCAGTGTCAGTTGCCTCATGACTTGCTACCCTTTTCAGCCAAAACAAAGGGTCACCCTTATGGAAGAAATTTGTTGGTACTCGTCATTTTTGGTAACTCGTCACTCCTCCTGGAACTAATTAATGACGAGTATCGGGGTACCATTGGATCTGTTTTTTCGCATTTGGATCTCCAATGACATTTTCTAGTGATTATTTTCTTTCCTTTGGGCTGATATGAATGTAACTGTTATCATTTGCAAATGTATTTAGTTTATCATATTTCTACACTATCCATCTCACCCAAGTGACTCTGAAAGGTTTATGAATAAAAACCATAAAAGGAGACATAGTTAAAACAATATTGGAAAGAGAACTATAAAGAGTAAAAAATTAAGAATTACAAATGTTAAATTAAAAGTTAATTAAATCTTGACTTTAGTAGTGCTGTGACCAAAGACTTGCAAGGAAATAAAAACAGTAGCAGGCACAGGTTGCAATCTGAGATGGTCAGGAACAAACTCACTTTTTGCCTTTGTTTTCTTGTAGGAGTCTTTCTGGCGCATCCCAGCTAAACTCAACTCAGAACAATTACGCCACATGGCTGCTTTCATTGCTTCGGAAGAAATGGAGGGGGAGACTCAAGACCAGCAAACTGGTAAGTTATATGTAAAGAGAAGGGAAATTGGAATCACATCACAAGCCAGGTGGGCAAACTATGTGCTGCAGCTGGCTTCCATCTATCATCCCCCATCCCCAGGTTCATGCTGAAGAACCTCAGGCATGTTCCAATTCTGAGAAGTACATTTTTTTAAAAAAAATAATTATTTAATTCCACACTATCTCCCTTGCCCCTTACTCCCATGTGCCATAGCTTCTAGTAAGCACCTCCCTTTTTGAGTTTAAGTAACCCAACCATTCTCACAAAAGGCCCAAAGGAACAAGAATGTTGGCCTGGTCTCATTTGCTGATATCTCCACCAGATCATAGTCATCCTTAGAAGACCTCAGCCAACAGGATAAAGTGGCCCATTCCTGATATAAAGGAACAATTGTAAGATGGTGTATCTTTATGCACTGGCACGTAGTCTGTCCCTACCTTTGTACTTATGGATACTTGGTTTGAGTTATTTGTTTTTGTGTTTAGCTATCTAAAACTTCAATAAGCAGTAGACAAGAAGGGGTTAAACATTAACACTGAAGGTCAGCTCTTGTTGCAAATCAAGCCCAAAACATTTTTTCACTACTGCTGATCCCTTGCCCAGTTTACTTTTCAGATCATCTTGACATTCCCCTGCTCTCTCAAAACACTTTTTCGTATGGAGCTTTGTTTGCTAACTTTCGTTTCTCAAAACACACATGACTGTAGGAAATAGGTTGCTGCCTTCTATAATACTATCCCATTTTCCTGCCCAGGAAAACTTTTGCCAGATCCCACCCACAGGCTCATAGTGCAAACCAGGTGTGGGTTCTGGCAGTCACTACTGTTGGTTCGCTCGTGGCTGTGCCGTGCGCTGCGTGCGTTGTATGCGTATGCACAGTGCAATAAAAATTCCTCTGTGCATGCGCAGAAGCAAAAAACAAGATGGTAGCACCTACAGCGCCGCCCAGAGAACCAGTTTGGGAGCGTGGCAGGTTTGG